TTGCCTGCTAGGTTTTGATCACTGTGTTGCTTGTCTTGTGCTCGGAGTGTGGTGACGTTGTGATCCACCCTGGGCTTTGCTTTGCTTTGCTGGACTAGTCTTGTGACCCTTTGTTCTCCCCCACTTTGCCTATGGGGGTGTGTTAAACTGTATTATGCTTGTAGGCTGTAGTGGGGTAGCCAATATGGGGTACAACCCCAACTAAGGTTTCATATTTGTACCCAAACTTCTGCTAGTTCATTCATTCTTGCCTAGTGATTCTGACAACAAAGAGATTCGCCCTGACACAGCAGATCTGCTGTGTTAGAGCTGTTCTGCCGAAAATCCAAGCAACCTATGAAACATATAGTACGCTTCTGATGAATCAGACAAAAATGACTGATATGTACACGTAGCAAGGACCCTGCAGCGCGCTGCGCCTCGCACGACACCACAAACATCCACCCCATCCCACCTTCCCTGCAAACAGACACGCTATATGTTTAATTCATGTTTTTATGAATGTGCATGATCAGTTTAACTTTTACACCTCACGCTGAAAGTTCAGCCTAAAACAATTGAGTTGTTTGAATTTTCAGCCTAAAATTTTGTGGCCACACTGACTCACAGAGCTCCAACAGAGGTAGACGTTGATCAATCAGCGTGCCTCAAAACGAATCTAGGGGCCTTGTGGTGACTTCGTGATCCATCCTGAGCTTGCTTTGCGTTTCGTGACTAGTCTTGTGACCACTTGTACTCCCCCACTTTGCCTATGGGGGTGTGTCAAAACGTTACGTTGTGTAGGCTGTAGCCCATAAGGGGTACAACCCAATTAGGGTTAGTTCTTGCTCGATGCATTCATTCTCGTTATCTATTTTGACACTGAGTGTTGGCACAAGTAATAATATGGTACACAAACACATGCAAGCCCACCAATATTGTATTCAAGGATGAGAGTGCTGAATACATTTTTGTGCGATTGCACTCCCACCACAGTAATTGCAACAATTTGGAAGATATTTCCTACTTGATTGCTATCTTAAACTTGAACTGTAGTCATTCCAATGTCCCTCTATTCGCACCCTTATCTATTGTAGCCCTAAGCCAAGCACGCCCAACGAAGGGCTCAGATTAAATGCTGTTGTCTTGACAGCAACGTGAGGTTGAGATGGCTGCTGGTACTAGAGAGTGAGTGAGGCGCATGGGCAGTTGCAGCCGTTGATTTGAACCCTGGGGATCGCATCGCACGGCTGTGATGAAGGGCAATTGTGTTGTGTCCACTAGAGCAGCACGATGCTGCGATGCGATGATAACGGATCTCACCCCACGCAGTTTCGGCCGTTGATGGAGCGTCACATGTGAATTTGTGGTCGACTAGTATTCAAGGTTTTGGGTTTCAGGTTTAAGGCTTGCTGGGCGAGGTCCTGGAGAGCAGAGCGGAAGGTGAAGGGCTTAGAGGCTGGTGAGGAGAGTGAATGGTGGATGATAGAGAGTCACGCATGAATCCATGCAGTTTCAGCCGTCGATCTATCGTCACATGGGGATTTGTGGCCGTTGGATGTTGAGGGTTTGGCGGGCGAGGTCAACGAGGGCGCGGAAGGTGAAGGGCTCGGAGGCTGCTATCTCTGAAAGCACCTTGCGGTTGAGCTGCACGTTGGCCTGCTGCATGCCATGCATCATCTCACTGTACCGCACCTGCTTGTACCGAGGATGGATTGGGGGTGGTGGGGAGATTTGGAAGAGGGACGGGGAATATAGGGGTGTGGGGGTTGAAAGGGGGAAAGGACGGAAAGGGGAAAACGAGGGCGAGGGCGTTGTGAGGGAGGGCCAGGGATGTACGGGACATGTGATTCACACTCATAACCTGGAATAGCTGCAAACCTGAAGAAAAACAGGCATGTACAGGGTAACTGAGGTAGTTGGGAAGAAATTGGAAAGGGAAAACGGGGAACGGGATGTGTGCTGTACGGTGCTGTGCTGTAAAGGGGATGGAGGGGTGTGTGGGATCACTTGAGGTGCCTTGGCAGAAAGGGTCCTCATGGATGGACGTAACCTTGTGTTTTGTGGCATAAAGTTGCCTCCATAAGGTTGAGGTGCTTTTAGCACCCCAACCCAGCCATGATGCACTCACCCCGTACCTCACTCGTTCCCGTGCCTCACTCACCCCGTACCTCACTCGTTCCCGTGCCTCTCTCACACCGTACCTCACTCGTTCCCGTGCCTCACTCACCCCGTACCTCACTCGTTCCCGTGCCTCTCTCACACCGTACCTCACTCGTTCCCGTGCCTCACTCACCCCGTACCTCACTCGTTCCCGTGCCTCTCTCACCCCGTACCTCACTCGTTCCCGTGCCTCACTCACCCCGTACTGTCGCGCGCCCACGTTAACGCGTTCGACGGCCAGTCCACGCATGTGAGTGCCAGTCCACGCATGTGAGCGCCAGAATGAGAAGGAGGATCCCGTGAGCTCACGATATGCGCCGCGTCTCCCCACCTACCCCGCACCCTCTCACTCATTCACGTACTGTCACTCACCCCGTAATGTCACCTATCCCGTACTGTCACGCACCCCGTATTGCCGCGCGCCCGCGTTGACGCGCTCGATGGCCAGCCCGCGCATGTCGCGCTTCTTCGTGCGCCGGTCGCGGTACGCGTAAGTCAGCGCCTTCTCCACGCGCGGCTTCGCGGCGCGGATGCAGTTCTTCGCGCGCCCGCGGAACCCCTTCGCCAGCTCCAAGATCGTCGCCTTGTTCATGGTAACGGTGTGACTGTATCGAGATAGATGATGATGGCGGGGGGTGAGTGTATCGAGCGAGGCGATGGAAGGAAGGGAGATTGTGATTATACGGAGCGCGGAGGAAACAGGTGCTGGGTGGAGCGAGTGAGGGTGTGACGACGAGCGGATGGGGATCAGAATCTGAGTTGGGGAGGCGCAGAAGGGAATTAGTGGCCAAGAGGCTAGGTAGGGACTCAGGCGATACGGCTGGAAGGATTCGATTAGGTTACAACCAGAAGTAATTTCCGTGGGCCTCAGCGTCACACACACACGACAAGATATTGCAAATCGAACCTTTAGACCAGAAGTTTAGTGTATCTGAGCCTTGCCTTGTGAGACCAGTGACTGCAGTCGAGCATCTCTGTATCGAAGATATCACGACACGTAGAGTTTTGGCTGTGGGGGGGGGTAGGGTTTGTGAATCGAATCTGTGCTGCCTTGTATCGGCCATAGGCCAGCACGTGCATTCGCTGCGGCCAGAGTTGGCCTGTTGCTCGCCACACTTCCACGTCGACTCGGCTCGGCTAATGATGGTCGCGCTTTCCCTCGGCCTAACCGCCTCGGCCAAACCAGAGCAGGAAAAGCCCAAACCAGATATGTCGAGCTTCGATGCTCCCGAAGCAGCCAGAATGACGGAAGCCAATCGGTACGCGCCACGGTAACCACCCTTTTCGCGCCCGAACCGAGCCAGACACATTTCTCCAAACCAGTTGCGCAGAGCGCTGTTTGCTCGCTCGAATCACACAACAAAGTTTCCATCCCCTCCCCATGTTGCAGGAAAGATGGAGCCTAAGGGCGTGTAAGATCCCCGTGCACACAGACTTGGCCATCAAAATTAGGTGGCCGTAGCGAAAGTAACCATTTCGTGATTGGTTTGCGAATCTAGTCGATTTCGGCCATCAAAATTGTGATTTGATGGCCGAAAAACCCAGTCGACTCTTTTCCGACGCGTGGTCGACTTCAAATCGGCCATGCTGTCGACAACAGCTGGCCACAGTAAAAAACGAAGTCGCATACGCTGCTACAGTGAAATTGCGACGTCGCATACATGTATGCGACGTCGTCGCACTAAGTCGGAAAAAAAGACAAACCGAAATCTTCCACCTCTGTTATTTCGGCCAGCAAATCCGTGTCATATTTGGAGGCCACATTGAGGTGGCCGAAAATTTGTCGGCCTGGTGACGACTCATCCGTCGACCTTCGCGAAAGCTTTGTCGACCAAAATGGTCGACAAAATTCAGCCAAAACGTGTGCACGGGGATCTTACACGCCCTAAATCCCTAGGTCTTCCATCAATCTTATCCGTCCATACGTTACACGGCCAAGAAATCGACGACACAGATGTTTCCAGAACTCAGCCTTCCCCTGCCGGATTTTTGCTCCTGCTTTTCTTCCCACTCGACTGTTCATTTGCTGGTCCTGTTCCGTCTTGGTCTCCTCCTTTTTCCGTCGCGTGCCGCATCGCCCGCTGCTTCCTTCTGCTTAGTACAGTAGCCTGCGTCACTACAGAAATCCCGTTCCTTCATCTGCTAGAAGATATCTCGTTCCCGTCTGTAGACATTCGCCTTTTGAACCCGTAATTCGTGGCAGTATCAGTGCATGGCGATTAACACCCCCGAGTCATGGCGACCGATCGCAGCTTGGGACATTACCTAGTGCCTAGATGCAGCGCAGCGTATAGGGCACATAGTGAACCCGTGTAGGACCGTCGGAGCTCTACAATTCTTACGCCGTGAACTTCCTTCACGATAGTGTTCCCGCAAACACCTGAACCGTTGCGAACCGCATGAATTATGCCACGTGCATCCTGCTGTTCCACCGCATCCCCGTTATAGGAACCCCACTCTCGGTACAACCATGGGGCAGGCGAATTCCACGTTCGAAAGGCCTAGTTCGCCCCCCACCTCGCCCGTCGGCCGCTACAACTTCCCTCCGCCGCTCTTTCCGCCCTCCCCTTCCGCCGCGCTCCCCTCCCCGCGCCTGACCACTCCGCGCGCGTGGCATCCGGACGTCGTGCGCGCGGTCTTCTCGAAGAGCGACTGCGTGCACGACGCCGTGTCGGGCCTCTTAACTCAGTACGTCGAGAAAATAGTAGGCGCCACGGATGCCAACTACCGCGATTCGGACTCCATAGAAGCCATCTTCCTAGGCGCTTCCGCTACCGGCGTCAGCGGTAGCGGCGGAGGCGGCGGCGATGGCGGCGGAAGAGGCGGCGGCGGCGAGGCACATTCCACGACCGCGGCGGATGCGCCAGAACTCACCGGACGGCGTTCGTCCCCTTCCTCCCCCACTAATGGGGAACGTTCCGCCGATTCCGCAGCACCTGCAGCTGCGGGGGAAGGGGTTGCTACAGCCGCTACTGCCGCCGCAGCAGCTGCGAATGCGTCACGCGCGGTTCTGAGCGAATCCGTCGCGTCGCAGCAGCAGCAGCAGCAGCCGGCGCTCCATCCGCTGAAGCGGCTGTCCAGCCGGCGGCTCGTGGCGGCGCCCGTGGCGCGCGCGCGGGAGGCGGCGACTCGCGAGGCGCTGGAGCAGCTGGAAGACGCGATGCGACAGCTGGCGCGCGCCGAGTACGACTGGCTGGTGAGCAAGATCGCGGAAGCTTCCGCGATGGCGGCGGGGAATAAGGAGGTGAGCAGCGCGAATAATGCGAGAGGGGGCGGAGGGGGGCCGGGCGGAAGGAGCGGGCGGAGCATTGCGGGGATCGGGAGTATCAGTCAACGATTTACTCGGAGCACCAGCACTAGGTCCGGGTTTGGTCCGGCGAGCTCCCGAACCGGGAACGCAGGCTCGGTCCTCCCACCTCAGCCGTTCCCCCGAAGCTCGTCGCAGAAAGCAGCGAAAGCGGGGCACAGTCGCTCGCTGTCGCTGGGGCAGGCGCTGTCGCACAGGCACGCGAGCAGCAGCCAATCAGAGGCGCGCGCGAAGCCTGGCGAAAATCGCACAGCGTCGCAGGGGCATTTGGGGCTGGAGGCTGCGAAAGTGGAAGAGGTGTTCGTGGTGGGGCTGGCGATGTGGGTCGAATTCTGGAAGCAGTGGGCCAAACCTGCCAGCCACGGCGCCGAAGCTGCAGCCTCGGCGCTAGGCTCGGGATTAGGCTTGGCGGCGCAGGGGGGGAAGCTGGGGAGGGGGGCGGGGCAGTGGGGGCGGAAGGGCGCGGAAGGGGGGCTGCGGAGTCTGAAGAGGCGGAGGGAGAGGATGAGGCGGAAAGAAGGGGGGAATGGGGGGAAAGGGGGAGCTGCGGGGAAGGATGGGGGAGTGTTGGGGAAAGAGGGGAAGGAGAGGGTTTTGGGGGTTAATTCCGTGCTGGAAGTGCAATTGGACGGGTTAAGTTGCAAGAAACCCTTGGAAGAAGGGACGTTCTTCTCAGTTGACCTGGGGGATGAGGAGGAAGATAAAGGGGGGAGAGGGGAGGCGGAGGGGGGAATGGAGAGTATCGATTTGACTAGTGGGCGGGACGAGGGGAGGAAGAGAAGGGGAGGGAGGGGAGGAAGGGCAGGAAGGGGGGAACACGGGCAGGATTCTGGAAATTTCGTGGAAGGATTTGGCGCTGATTATGGGGAAGGTGGGGGGCGGAATGGGGAGGTGAGGGAGGGGGATGGGAGGAGGGACGCACGGCACAAGAGGCTTTGGCTGAAGAAACGGCGGCACAAGGCAGGCAATGGAGTGGGGGGAGTTGGTTCGGCAGGAGTTGGTTCAGATGCTCGGCTGTCTGTTAGTGAGTGTTCCCGCCCAGAGCTAGACACTGTAGCTGCCACTGCTGACCACTGTAACGGGTCCCTCTATGACGAGGATTTCTCTGGTGACACTGTAAGGTTTGATTTTGAAAAGCTTCCTAACGGAGCCCTCTGTAACGAGGACGGCTGGAGCTCTGACAGCAATGGGTCGAGCGACGAAAGCTCCTACTACAATCTCAACGAGTACGGCGCTTATAACGAGTGCAGTGCTTATAACGTGTTCGGATCTTATAACGAGTACAGCGGCAGCTACAGCGCTAACAGCTACAGCGCGAGGGGCAGCAGCGGCACGCCGTTCTCAGCGTGTGCCCCACACGGGGCGGGGTGTGGCGTGCACGTGCCAGAGGTGGAGGGCGACCTGCGGGCTGAGGCCGGGCGGCAACTGCAGGAGCAGCTTTTGGCGGATCTGCTGGACGGGCGGCAAGGCGCTCTGGGTGGCAAGCCGGGCGCGTGGGGGGAGGTGCTATCTGGGGGCGGTGGGACTGGTGGTGGTGGGACTGGTGGTGGGGGTGCGTTTGGGTTCCGAAGCAGCAGCGTCGGCAGCAGCACCGGAGGGAGCTTCAGCAGGAGCAGCAGCTTCGGTGGCGGAGCAGGCAGCAGCTTCGGGCCTAGCCTCGGCAGTGGGTTCGGGAACAGCCTCGGCAGTGGGTTCGGCAGCGGGTTCGGAGGCTACAGCAGCATGGGAGAGGTGGGGATAGGCAGTGGTCTGGGCTGTAGCAGCTACAACCCATCAGTTGACATCCTGAAACGCCTCCGAAGCAGCTCATTCTCCTACTCTCACTCCCACCCGCTCTCCCACCCTCACTCCTTCCCTCACTCCTCCTCTCACTCCACCCACCACTCTGCTAGCAGCAGCCCTGCAGGTACCCCCACGCCTTCTCCCCCTCCCCCGCCCCCTCCGTTGCAGCACACTGATGTGGTGCGGGTGCTGGGGTTGGCAGCAGCGGCGTCTAACTGCCTGCCTGTGAGTGCCGCTGTGTGTGTGCTGAGGTTGCTGGATAGGCTTTGCAGGGAGGAGCGGGAGGCGGGGGAGTGGGTGAGACGAGGGCGGGGGAGGGGGAGACGGAGAGGAGGAGGGGCAGCAGCAGCGGCGGCGGCTGCGAGGGCGGCAGCAGCAGCGGCGGCGGGAGGGGGGAGGAGAGGAGGAGGTGGGGGGTGGGATGGTGAGGGTGTGGGTGTGGGGGGGAGAGGAGGTTTGTTGGGGGACGAGGAGGAGGATGAAGAGGAGGATGGGGAAGGGAGAGAGGGAGTGAGGACCAGTGACAATGGTGCTGATGCTGATGATGCTGATGATGCTGATGATAATGATGCTGCGGATTCCGAAGCTGCAGCGGAGGCTCGGGAGGCGGTGGAGCGGGAGATGGAGGCTCGGGAGTGTCGCATGTTCGTGCTGCAGTGCCTGCTGGACCTAGTAGACGCCCTGGCCCTCAAGTGCCGCTTGAGACTACAACCGCCCTCTGCCAGCGCGTATCTAGAGGGGCTCGTGGGGGGAGTGGACGGACTGGGGGGGGTGAACGGGGTGGTTGCAGGGGCGGAAGGTTATGCATTGGAGGGGTATGGGATGGGGATATATGGGGGAGTAGCGACGCCTACAGGGAGTGTGACAGTGATGAAGGGATTCCGGGACGAGGAGGAGAGCACAGGGAGTGTGGCAGGCGGCAGGGGCACAAGAAGCAGTGCAGCCGGTGGGGGCAGCACCTCGCCACTGCTCAACGGGCAAGGCTTCAACCCTCCGGCTCTCTTCCAGCGCCAGCCCTCCTGGGCCTCCGGCAGGCCTGCTGCCTGGGAGGCAGGTAAGCCTCCTGCTGCTGCTGCCTGGGAGGCAGGTAAGCCTCCTGCTGCTGCCGCTGCTGCTGCTGCTGCCGCTGCTGCTGCTGCTGCTGCTGCTGCTCGCTCCTCGCTGTACCGTCAGCCGTCCTGGGGCGGGGATGGGGGAGACAGTGCGTTGTTTCAGCGCCAGCCGTCGTGGCAGGGGGGCAGTGCCGCGCCCTTCCAGCGACAACCATCCTTGCAGGGGGGTGCGTCGCCCTTCCTGCGCCAGCCGTCCATGGGCTTCCGCAGCAAGATCGGTGCCTTGTTCCTGGGGGAGGGGCGGGGGGCAGCAGGAGGAGAGGCAGGGGCAGGGGCAGGGGGGGGGGAGGAGGAGGAAGGCATGGGGGATCCATCGAGGCTGTGGAGGAGGCACGGGACAATAGGCTCGGGTGTGGGTCGGGCGGGAAGCTTGTCTGTCTCGCATGCCCCTGCTCCCATGCGCCGCGCCACTGTTGGTGCTGCTGGCGAGTTTGCTTCCTCTGCATCCGTCTCCTCAGCTGCAGGCTTCTTTGGTCCCACGCGACTAACAGAGCTGGCAGAACTAGCCCTCATGCGCTCCATTCTCCATGCCCCTCCCAACACCACCGCTGGTAGGACCGGCCTAGCTCCCACCCCTCCCAACGCCTCGCCCCATGGCCCAACCAAAGCCCCTACCAACGCCCCCACCACCAACCAGTCCACTCCCTACTCTCACCGTCTGCGCCAGCTGGATTCGCTTCTCACCACGCATGCGCTCGGGCCCGGGATTCTCGCCCTCGTTTTGGCCGGGGAAGTTGCGGAACTACCCCATTTAACCCAGGAGGACCTGTGGCTTTTAGCCGATAGAGCGGACGAGATGGGGTGCATGGAGGCGGCTATAAGAATCTCTCTTAGAGCTGCCGCTGTCGCTTATGATGATCTGGATACTGTAGCGGATACGGTCCGGGCGGCGATGGTGCCTAATGGGACGGAGCCCGTGCCGCAGCGGATCCACCGGCTGCTCGGGGCGGCGCATTTCGGACTGACGCACGCGCCGTCGGGCGGTGTGCGGTGGCAGTATGCGATGGCGTTCGGGGCGGCGTTTTTGGAGCCTCTGCGGGCGGCTGCTGCTGCGAGTGCTGCTGCTGAGGCGAGAAGTAGGGCGCTGGGGTGGGGTGGCATGGGTGGGGGACGAGGGGGGACAGCAATGGGAGTGGGCGGGGGCTTGGGCCTTGGAGGGGAAGCAGGGAGGGCGCTAAGAGCGGGAGGAGAGGCGGCAGGAGTGGGGGCGGCAGGAGTGGGGGCGGCAGCAACAGCAACAGCAGCAGCAGGAGCAGGGGCAGGGGCAGGGGCAGCAAGGGGGGCAGCAGCAGCGAGGAGGGGGGTGAGTTACCCATGGGCGTATGAACTAGCGAACGGGTTCCTGCAGCTGAGCCGCGTGTTTGGTGCCCCGCCCTCCCGCGAGGAGCAGGAGCGCGCGGGCGAGATGAGCGCCCTGTGCGCCCGGTTCGTGCTGAGGCTGGCGATTGAGCCGCTGCTGGTGGTGGACGAAGAGGAGGAGGAGGGGGAGGGGGAGGGGGAGGGGGAGGATGAGTTGAAAGGGGATGAGGATGGGGAGGAGGAAGGGGAGGAGGGGGTGGAGAGGGGAGGGGCCGAGGTGGAAGGGGGAGAAGGGAACGGGGTTGAGGGGGAACGAATGGAGGGGGAAGAGGTGCAGGTGGAAGGGGAGGGGGAGGGGGATGGGGAAGGGGAAGGGGACGGGGATGGGGAGGGAAAAGAGAAAGGGGCGGAGGGGAAAGGTGTGGAAAGGGGAGTGGTGGAGGGGGAAGAGGGGGAATTGAACGGAACAGAAGGGAAGGGCGAGGAAGAGAAAGGGGAGGAGGGGAGGAAGGGGGAGGCTGAGGATGATGGCAAGGGGGTGGCAGGTAGAGAGGAAGAGGGCACGGAAAGCGATGGTGAGGGTGAGAACGTTATCATCTATGCCGGACAGTACTATGGGAGAAGTGCGGTGCAGCGCGGTGGGAAGAGCGTGCGGCCGTTCCGCAGCAAGAGTGTGCGGCAGTGCGAGGGCAGCTCGGCAGCAGGGACGGGAGAGACTTTTGAGTCGGCTTGCGAGTCGTTTCGCAGCGAGAGTGTGCGATCAGGTGATGGGCGCACGGCAGCAGATACGGGAGAGACTTTTGAGTCGGCTCGCGAGTCGTTTCGCAGCGAGAGTGTGCGATCAGGTGATGGGCGCACGGCAGCAGATACGGGAGAGACTTTTGAGTCGGCTCGCGAGTCGTTTCGCAGCGAGAGTGTGCGATCAGGTGATGGGCGCACGGCAGCAGATACGGGAGAGACTTTTGAGTCGGCTCGCGAGTCGTTTCGCAGCGAGAGTGTGCGATCAGGTGATGGGCGCACGGCAGCAGATACGGGAGAGACTTTTGAGTCTGCTCGCGAGTCGTTTCGCAGCGAGAGTGTGCGATCAGGTGATGGGCGCACGGCAGCAGATACGGGAGAGACTTTTGAGTCGGCTTGCGAGTCGTTTCGCAGCGAGAGTGTGCGATCAGGTGATGGGCGCACGGCAGCAGATACGGGAGAGACTTTTGAGTCGGCTTGCGAGTCGTTTCGCAGCGAGAGTGTGCGATCAGGTGATGGGCGCACGGCAGCAGATACGGGAGAGACTTTTGAGTCGGCTCGCGAGTCGTTTCGCAGCGAGAGTGTGCGATCAGGTGATGGGCGCACGGCAGCAGATACGGGAGAGACTTTTGAGTCGGCTCGCGAGTCGTTTCGCAGCGAGAGTGTGCGATCAGGTGATGGGCGCACGGCAGCAGATACGGGAGAGACTTTTGAGTCTGCTCGCGAGTCCTTTCGCAGCGAGAGTGTGCGATCAGGTGATGGGCGCACGGCAGCAGATACGGGAGAGACTTTTGAGTCTGCTCGCGAGTCGTTTCGCAGCGAGAGTGTGCGATCAGGTGATGGGCGCACGGCAGCAGATACGGGAGAGACTTTTGAGTCCGCTCGCGAGTCGTTTCGCAGCGAGAGTGTGCGATCAGGTGATGGGCGCACGGCAGCAGATACGGGAGAGACTTTTGAGTCCGCTCGCGAGTCGTTTCGCAGCGAGAGTGTGCGATCAGGTGATGGGCGCACGGCAGCAGATACGGGAGAGACTTTTGAGTCGGCTCGCGAGTCGTTTCGCAGCGAGAGTGTGCGATCAGGTGATGGGCGCACGGCAGCAGATACGGGAGAGACTTTTGAGTCCGCTCGCGAGTCGTTTCGCAGCGAGAGTGTGCGATCAGGTGATGGGCGCACGGCAGCAGATACGGGAGAGACTTTTGAGTCGGCTCGCGAGTCGTTTCGCAGCGAGAGTGTGCGATCAGGTGATGGGCGCACGGCAGCAGATACGGGAGAGACTTTTGAGTCTGCTCGCGAGTCGTTTCGCAGCGAGAGTGTGCGATCAGGTGATGGGCGCTCGGCAGCAGATACGGGAGAGGGGCGGGCAATTGCAAGCTTCTTTACCACCAAGCAGGGCGCTCTCAACGAGGGGCAAGGGGCTCTCAAGGCGGTGCTGGAGCAGGGGGGTGCGAGTGAGGGAGTTGTGAGGGGAGTTGTGAGGGGTTTGAAGGGGGTGGCAAAAGGAGAGGAGACGGGCAGTAGGCGTGACGAGAAAAGCGAGGAGGGGATTGATGGGGAGGTGTGCGAGGAGGGTAGTGAGGAGGAGCGGGAGGAAAAGCAAGATGAGGAGGAGGAAGATGATGGGGAGGAACAAGGCGAGGATAGCTTCTCGTTTGGCAAGGCCTCCACCATTCACTCACGCGATTCTTCCTCTCCCCAACACCCACCACCATCCCTCCCTCCCTTCACCGTTTTCCCAAAATCCACCTCTTCCTCTCTCGCCTCTTCGACCAAAACTGCCCCCACGTCCCGCCCTCCGCCTTTCTCCCTGCACACCCAAAACGGTCGCATCGCTCCCCGGCCCTCCCCGCTAGGCTCGGCAGTGGCAGAAGGCCCGGACGGCCTGCCGGCCGAGGCTGTGCGGGAGGCTCGGCAGCGGCAGGTTCGGGAGGCGGCGCTGGTTCGGTGGGCGGCGGAAGTGAGTTTCCCGGGCGTGGAGGTGGGGTGGGCGCAGTGGAAGGCGGTGGGTGGGCTGCTGGAGAGGGAAAGCGCGTTGGCCCACAAGGCACTGCCTGTGATGTGGGGAAAGGCAGTCAAAGGGACGTTCAAGGTGAGACTTTCTTTTTGCAAAGGATTGTTCAAACAGGGCGTGGTTGGGTCACATCTCCACTCGGTCATCTCGGCCACCCCCCTCCGCTTCCTCCCTTCTCCCCCCTCTCTCCTCCTCTCAATAGATGCTAGAAGTGCTCTATTGAGGTCTGGAGGCAGCAGACCTTGCAGGCCACATTTGCCACGCTCACCTCTCCTGATCCCCCCCACATTCCTTCTTCTCCCTCTCCCTTCTCTCCATCGCACCCACCCTCCAGGCAGTGACGCCAGACGTTGCGATACCAGAGCAGCAGGTGTTGGAGGTGTTTGACTGGGGGTTGGAAGGGCCACCCACCACCTTTACCACCCTCACCTCGTTCCTTCCTCTCTTCCTCCCACCCCACAGGCAGTGACACCAGACGGGGCCATACCAGAGCAGCAGGTGCTGGAGGTGTTTGACTGGGGGCTGGAAGGGCTGCTCATCACCCTCACCTCGCCCGGCCCCATCTACCTCGACTCCACCCCCTGCGCCGCCTCGCCTTGCTCCCTCTCCTCCTCGCTTCTCCCCACATCTGCTTCCACCTCCTCTTCCTCCACATCCTCAGCATCCTTCTCCCGTTCCTCCTCCAACAAACAACCGCGTGGAGCCCTCTCTGCACCCACCACTACCACCACTACCTCCTCCTCCTCCTCCTCCTCCTCCTCCTCCTCCTCCTCCTCCTCCTCCTCCTCCTCCTCCTCCTCCTCCTCCTCCTTCTCCTCCTCCTCCTCCTCCTCCTCCTCCTCCTCCTCCTCCTCCTCCTCCCCTTCCCCCCTCACCCCCTCCCTCCACCGCTCGCCCTCCTCCCTCGTCTCAGCCTGGGCCTGGATAGAGCGGCTCATCTCCACCGTCGATCCACGAGAGAAGGACATCGGGGATCTAATCCTGGCCGTTGCAGCGCGCATGGCGGCGCACATCTATTGGCGGTGGCCCAAGCGGAGGGACAATGCACGATACATTGCCCGCTTGCTTCTCTATGCTCACAAGCGCTTTGGCTGGCAGCAGGGCGGGCAGCAGGGGCAGTGGGGCCAGTGGGGGCAGTGGGGGGGCAGCAGGGGCAGCTGAGGATGCGGGCGGTGAGGGTGAGTGAGCGGCTGTGGGGGTGGAGCCTTCCTGATGCTGCTTCTGTCCGCGAACAGTGCGAGGTGAGGGTGGTGGGATGAGAGGTTTGGGATTAAGGAGAAGCGGTGTGGCAGTTTGCAGTTTTGTCTGCTTTGTTGTGGGTCGGAGTGAGTGCGTATGCGCGTGTGTGCATGCACATGGGTGTGTGCGTATGTGTGGATTTAATTGTGAGCAAAGATATATGTGCAATCGTGTAAATGAGTAACCATCTCCTCGTTGTGGTGTGTCTTGTGAATCACTTGATTGGCAGACTGACGAAGAGGCTCAGGAGATTATGGACAGTGCAATGATTGCAACATGGACCGGCATTGCGGCATGATGCAGCCAACTGGAGCACAACAATCGTAACCTCATTATTTGATTTATGATACTCTGGTGTCATGATCTATCTGTTGGGCTGAGATAGCCCCTTAGGATCTTTTCAAGGGAGAACTCTGGGTGGGATAGTGTTGTAATAGCGGAAGCGTTTAACAAAGTTTGTGAACCACCTTGCGCTGGTATATGAGGGCAAAGTAGATTGATTATAGCAAGGAAGTACAAGATTATATAATAATACAAGGAATATGAAAGGATGCAGTTTGTAACTTCTTTACTGTTGCTGTTGCGGTTCGATACAGTACGACTCGGGCAACTGCTCTGTAACGAGTCAGTTGTGTGTCCTTAATTGTCGCGCTGTATTTGTCAGGTCAAAGGTCGCTTGACCTTTGACTTTCGCGTAACCTCCGGCAACTTCTCAACCTCCGAAGGTTGACTCGCGTTTGTTTCGATACAGCTTGCTTCGCTTCTGGTGCGATGTTTCGACACGATTGAAGCGCTTAAGATTCACTATTTCCAACACTCCCCTTCGCTTCTGGAGTGTCGTTGCTGATGACGTGGCTCTGTCCAGTCAGCAGCATGCAGTACTCGAATTTCTGCTTTCCGAGTTTCTTGGTCAAATAATCGGCTGCCATCTCGGACGTGGGACAGTATGACAGCTGAAGTCTCCCCTTCTCGATCTCGTCCTTCACGAAGAAGTAGCGCAGTGCGATGTGTTTCGTCCTGTTCGCGAAACCGTTCTTGTTGGCGATGCGAATTGCAGACTGGTTGTCGCAGAACAGGGTGAAGTTGGGTAACTCAGCTAACTTTGCTTCTTCCAGCAGCTCGCGGAGATAAAGGCCTTCCTTGGTGGCTGAGCAGAGTGCGATATATTCTGCCTCAGCTGATGATAGCGCGATTAACTCCTGCTTGCTCGACTGCCAGGAAATAGGTCCGATAGGTTCGAGGCGGTAGGCGTAGCCGGTACGTGAGCGCCTGTTGTCGGAGTCGCCGGCGTGATCGGCGTCGACATAGCCGATTAGCTTAGTTGGTGTAGCTGCGTTCTTGTGGTAGGTTAGGCCGATCGTCGTGGTGCTGATGAAGTAGTGAAGAGCGCGGTCAAGTTCCGCCAGATGTTCTGTTTCAGGCTTCTTGAGGTAGGTGGCGAGTTGACTTGCGGAGTATGAGAGGTCGGGACGGCATGTGACGGCTGCGAAGAGGAGGCATCCGAGCTTCCTCTGATAGTCGCGTATGCCGGCTGGTTTGAGTAGAGTGGATCGTCCCTTCTCGGTTCCTGTCGTGTAGCGGTATGGTGTGGAGATGGCGGCTGGTGTGAGAGCGAAGCGTGATAGTGTCGGCGTATTTCTCGGCGCTGAGATAGATCGCATCTTCTTCTTCTCGGATGTTGAGGCCGAGGTACTGTGTGACGGTAGACGAGACCGTAAGTGTGAGGTCTTTCTGCAGCTCCCCTTCGAACCAGGTTGCGATGCTATCGGTTGACCCGATGTAGAGGAGATCGTCCACGTAGACGATTAACAGGACGTAGTCGTTGTTCTTAGTGAGTCGATACATGCCTTGGTCGTGCGGGAGTTGCTTGAAGCAGATGCGGATGAGACGAGCGTGCAGGTATTGCTGCCATAGTCGCGGGGCCTGTTTGATTCCGTAAAGCGACTTGAGCAGCTGGCAGACATGCGTGGAATCTGTGTTGGAGCCGTGCGGCAGCTCCACAAAAATTTCTGCGTCAACAGGCGCGTAGAGAAAGGCGTTTGCGACGTCGATTTGTCGTAGCTTTTTCTTCTTCATGGCGGCGATTGCGAGGAGAATGCGTAGTGAGGTGTGTCGGCTGACCGGAGCAAAGGTTTCGGTGAAGTCGCGTCCGTGCTCTTGGTCGAAGCCGCATACGACCCAGCGCGCCTTGAATTTGTCGATGGTGCCATCTGCTTTCGTCTTCACGCGGAAGACCCATTTTCCGGTGAGGATGGTCTTGTTTCGTGCTACACCGATAGGAACGATTTTCCAGGTGTTGCGTTCTTCTAGCGCTTTCAGCTCCTTGTCCATGGCTTCGCGCCATTTTTCCCTGTGTTCCCCCCCCAGAGCCTGCTGAACCGTTGCAGGCTCTTTAGGAATGGCGGCGCCGTGGACCGCGGTGACGAGCCTGAGTATCTGGAGTCCACTCTGTGTGTAGCGGGGGAGTGTGGTGTCCTCGGGATAGACTGCCTCGTCTCCAGCTTCTGGATCAGGTGCGAAGTTGGGCCCTATGCGTTCTGCTTCGTTGGTGTTGACTTCAGCAGGTGTTACGTAACCGTTGTCGGCGAAGTGGTAGTAGGTTTCGGCGTTGACGCTTTCGCGAGGGTTATCTTCGTCCATCGGTACGTCCACTGAGCAGTAGGGGAGAGGTCAGGCTTCTTCCGAGGCTCCTTCCACGTTCTGCTCGTCCCAGTCAGCTTCGTCTCCTGCCGAAGCGAAGGCTCGATCGCCACGGAAGCCACCTGTGGGGTCTCGATTTTCGTCCAGGTTTGCAAGGTATGTTGGCAGTGTGAGCCGCTCGTAGAAAATGACATCACGTGCTGCTACTGTTTCCTTGGTGTGGATGTCGAAGATTTTCCACGCGTTGTAATGTTTTTCGATGCCCAAGTGTAGTCCCCACTGTGCCCGTTGGGAGAATCGGCCGGCTCGTGCAGATGGGGGTCGGTACTGTACCATGCAGCCGAAGACTCGTAACATTTTTGTGCTGCCCAGTTTCCCTGTCCACAGCAGATGCGGTGATGTGTTGTTCGGGAGTGACGACGAAGAAAGCAAGTTGTGCAGCATCACGGTGTGGTCCATTGCCTTGGGCCACTGGTGGTTGGGTAGCCGCATGCCACGTAACAGTTTGCGCATGGTGTTCTGCAGAGTCCTGTTCATCCTTTCTGCTACACCCTGCTGTTGATGGGCGTAGGGAAGGGAGATGAGTCTCTTGATTCCTTTCTCCGCCAGATACTGCTTGAACCGCTGTGACGAGTATTCTCCTCCTCCGTCTGATTGGAAATTTTTTAGCTTAGCTCCTGATTCCCGTTCTGCTGCTGGAAGCCATGCCACGAAAGCCTCGAAAGCCATGTCGCGACTTGGTAAGTTTAGGTGCCACACGTAACGTGTAGCGGCGTCGATGAAGGTGATGGTGTAGTTATACGCGTTTTGTCCGGGTTCGCGGTTGTACAAGATGTCGCTGTACACTTTCTCGAGTGGTGCATATGCAGGTGTGCTTGGGTTGTGATGTGAAACGAAGGGCTGATGTGGTAAGTCAGCTTCGGGGCAGGTGAAGCACGTTCCTCGAGCTCGCTGAAGTTCTCTGCCGTCGGTCAGTAAGAGTGAATCCTTGTCAAGTACTCCAGCTCTTATCGTGTTGTTTAATACTGTGTTGCTCGGGTGTCCCATTCTTGCGTGCCAGGTTTCTTCATTGGCGCGGTGTCCTGGCGAGCGTCGGTACATGTCGGAGTTGGAGTAGAAGCCAGCGATGATGTTCGCACTTCTGTGAACTTCCCGTGGTGCCGGGTTGAGCTGCTGTGCCGGTGTCGGCGGCGTCTCGTTGATGAAGGGCTGTGCCGTTGAGGGACCAGTGACTGGTGTTAATGTTTCTGCTGCTGCTGCTGTTGTCTGTGCTGCTGTCGATGTTGTTTCTCCTGCTCCTGATGTTGTCTGTGCTGCTGCCGATGTTGTCTCTGCTGCTGCCGATGCTGTCTGTGCTGCTGCCGACTGCTGAATTGTCGCTAATGCCCTTGTTCTCTCTGTTTCAGAAATGGTGTGCGAGTACCAGAAACCGCTTGGACTGAAGTCTGGACCAAGATCTGGAGGATGTGTCCAGTTGGTGAAGTTTACGATGGCGTCGCTGTCGGCCGTGCCAAGATCGGGAACGAAGTCGAGAACGAAGACGTTGTTCTTGAGGACCGCCTTCCCGATGTAGAGACCTCCCCTTCCGTGGTACAGCTTGAACTCTTGAGTTGTGCTGTCTGCTTCAAGATGAATGCCTTTCGCCATCAACTGACTGACGCTCAGTAAGTTGTAGCCCAAGCCCTCTGCGATTAGGACCTTGGACATCTGCAAAATAACATTTGTCTCTCGTGACTGAAGTTGAACAACTCCTTGTCATCGTGTGCGCAGGTTCTGATTGTTGGCGACGGTGATGACAACTTCCCGTTGAAGCTGGTACTCTCGCTGCACGAAGCGTCCTGAAGAACACATGTGTTGCCCGCAGCAACTGTCCAAGAACCACGTGTCTTTTTCCGGATGGCTCGTTTTGGGCGATGGCTGCGTAGGTTGGATTCGGTTGAAGTGCTTCGCGGCGAGGTGTCGTTTCATCGAGCTGTTCTTCTGGTGAGTAGTATGGTGGTGATTCCGTGACGCAAGAGTCACTCAGTCTTGCCATGCAGCTAACGATATTTCTTGTTTC